ACTAAAAATCAAAATTATCTTCCAAAACATCATGATTGGCATTAAAATAAATATTAAATTTGCCCCTAAAAGCAACATTCATGTCGGAGGGTAGGAGGTTCTGACGTCATCATTCATGTGGGATGGCCTGGGGTTCTAACGTCATCATTCTCGTGGGAGGTCCTGGAGTTCTGACGTCATCATTCCCGTGGGAGGGTCGGAGATTCTAACGTCATCATTCCCGTGGGAAGGCCTGGGGTTCTGACGTCATCATTCCCGTGGGAGGGCCTGGGGTTCTGACGTCATCATTCCTGTGGGAGGGCCGGAGCTGGGGCGGGCTATTACGGGATGCTAATGACTACTGGTTTGTGGTTGACAGTGTGGTGCAGGCCATAGTCTCACGGGCACGGCCCACACACACACCCCCCCCATGGGAGAACTGGAGGGGAGTCAACACCCCCAGGGGAGAGCACCTAGGGTGGGGAGTGGGGATGGGGGGGAAGAAGGAGTAAGAGTACCCCCGTCAAATATGAGGTTGGTGTAGGGAGGTAACGTCTGTCTGTCTGTCTGGGAGATAATAGTGTATACCTGTGAATGGATTGACAGGTAATGACACAGATTAATTATATTAATTAGAGTACAATAAGTTATTTTTTTTTCTGGCGTGATACAAAGGAAATGTACACTAATTAATACTTAATTGAGAAATATGAAAACAATTCCCAGAGAGATTTGGCTCATAACGCTTTAACGTTAAAATGTTATTACAGCACTTCAACACCTCAGGCCTTTACCGTTTACCATAACAAACAGTAGAGCCATGACGGGGCCTTTGTGAAGACTGGTAACGTAAACAGAAAGTCATATAAGAACACAAACTCTAAAATAACTGAAGCCAGAAATAAATACTAATGAAAATGCTATATACTCCTATAGACGATAAAGTGATCTTTCTTTATCATTGTTTATCATTAAGTTAACCAACTGTCTTTTTAGTGTTTTTTATATTTGAGTCTGTAACCAATGAAAACCTCATTTGTTAAGAAGATGTCTTGCGATTGGTCACTCACACATTATTTACATTGTTTGAGCTATTTCCCTAAAATGCGTTCCTTTAGTATTAAGGCTAGACGCACACTACCAATGAAAACAACCTTAGTGATATGCGTGCGTTGTGATTGGTTGTTTTTTTTAATTTGTGTTGTTGTCACGTGTTTATCTCACTGTTTAAGCTGTCAGTTTCAACAAGGATCCTGTCAAGGTGGTCTGCTGTGTACTGTGAGTAGTGAACCAAATGAATCTTACCGTTTATTGTCTTATTTACTGTACTTAATCATGTGTATATTAATTACCTGTGTATAGCAACTTAGGAGAAGTAACTGTGGTTTATTTGTACTTATTTGTTTTATTAGGTAAGTAGGTATAGCATAGTATTTTTGTTTCCTTTTCACTTCGAATCAAATTTACAAGTGGCCGTTAAGTATTGCTGTTCTAAGACGTTTATATGATTCTGGTGAGGTTGATGTAACGTTAATGTTATTGGTACTTTAAGATGTTCGAATAGTCTTTGTTTACTGTAGTTTGTAGACTTGAAGCGTTTATGTATACTGTTTAGCCATTGTTTACTGTGTACCTTCATTGTCTATATACATGCTGAATAAACCTCTCTATATCGACCTGTCTAAACATAATTAATGCTGTATATACACTTATATTAGTATGTTAAGGTAAAGGTGTAGAAGAGAGTGACCACCAGAAGGAATTGTCCGAATTGGTTGAACACTTTTCTACACACTAATATCATGATATTAAACACAAAAATGGAAACGACAATGCATAGAACCCAATGGAACCAGACCTAACAAACCCAACCTATGGGTTTGTTAGGTCAGGTTCAGAAACAGAATAGCGGACCCCTCGTAAATTTATTTACAAAATCATTTGACACGGGAGTTGTGCCATTCTGGTGGAAACAGGCAAATGTAGTACTCATATTCAAAAAGGGCCGATTAGTTTGACGTCAGTAGTTTGGAAATTTCTTCAATGAATTATAGCAAACAGCATCCTATCGCATTTAGAGAAAAACAAATTAATCTACGACTCTCAACATGGGTTTACAAAGGGAAAATCTTGTCTAACAAATCTGCTGACGTTTTTTTAGGAAAGTCTTCGAGGTAGCAGATAATGACGAAAATTGCGATGTCATTTACCTAGACTTTAGCAAAGTGTTTGACAGAGTACCGCATCAGAGGCTTCTGAGAAAAGTTAAGGCTCATGGTATTGAGGGGAAAGTTTTAAATTGGATAAAATCATGGCTCACCGATAGAACACAGAGAGTCAGCGTAGATGGTGTTAAATCTGAGTGGGGCTGTGTAACCAATGGGGTTCCCCAGGGGTCAGTACTGGGCCCACTCTTGTTCATAATCTACAAGTACATAAACGATATAGATACTGGGATCAGCAGTGACATAAGCAAGTTTGCGGATGACACAAAATTAGGGCGACAGATTAATTCAGGGCAGGATGCAAATACACTACAGGAGGATTTAAATAAACTGCAGGTGTGGTCAGAAAAATGGCAAATGAAATTCAACACCAGCAAGTGCAGCGTACTTAATATTAGAAGAATAAATACTGCCAATGTATACAGCCTTAACAACATCAACCTAGAGAAGGCGACTTGTGAAAGAGACTTAGGGGTATTTGTAAGCCCTTTTCTACACCTTCACCGTATGTTAACTAGCAGATGATTAACTCAGTATGTCATGATGAGTAATGGAGATGAATTACCTACTTTGATGAGCAATGACAACTAATTAACCTGCGTTCATGACTCATGGGGGAGCAGTACCTGAGACTAATGATGATAACTTGAGTAATGGCAGTTCTTTTACCTGTGTCAATGAGTATTGATGGTGACTTTTAAGTGTGGTGATGAGGCATCCTGGTGATTTAAACTGTGTTGATGGGTCACTGCTGTGATTTTGCACGTGTTAATGACTAATAATGGTGGCCGTACCTGTGTTAAAGACTAATAATGGTGGCAGTACCTGTGTTAATGATTAATGATGGTGGCCGTACATGTGTTAATGATTAATGATGGTGGCCGTACCTGTGTGATGAGTAATGATGGTAACATTAGCCGTATTGATGAGTAATGATGGTGACATTAGCCGTATTGATGAATAATGGTGACTCAACCCGTGGTGAGGAGTAATGACGGTGACTTCGTGTGCTGTTGAGTTTTCTTGGTGACCTGTGAGTGAGTGAGAGGGAGGTACTGGTGTCTACTGACCTCTTCATACTCTGTGGTCGTGTGGTGATGGAGACTGGAAGAAGGAGAAGGAAGGAGGGAAAGATAGGGAGTGAGGGAGGGAAGAGGATGGAAGAAGTGAGAGATAGGGAAGGAGAGAAGATGGAGGGGGGGGGGGAGGGAGGAGGAGGAGGAGGGTGTCCCGCCTCAAGACAGGATGTAACTTTGATAACCACTGTGACCGCAAGGTGAAACAACCTCCTGCGGGGGTAGAAGAGGGAGGGAGGGTACGGAGGGCGGGAGGGAGGGAAGAGAGGGGGTTAGGGAGGGAGTGTGTGGACATTATCGTTTGCTTATTTGACCCTCTTGTATGGCGGCCTCCAACCTCACCTGTTACCCCTGAGTGGCGTCCTCTATACACGAGGAGCAGATAGTATCAACAATAACACAAACCCTTCTTGAATCATCGCAAATGTCTCTTCATCCTCCCTACCATCATCAAATGTTTGTGTGAGTGACCTTTTTCACCCTTACCTGTGCCCCCCCACACCTCCCTACCTCACCTCACCATCTCCACCCGCCCCCTCCCTTACCTCACCATCTCCACCCGCCCCCTCCCTCCTCCCTCCTACACCTTCTAGCCTTCCTCCCCCTCTCTCTCTCTCTCCCAGGTGAACAAGACGTAACGATAGCCACAGTCATTAGTTTTCCTGATCGTCTGAAACACTGTGAGTAGCTCCCTCGTCCCTGTTCAAGGCTTCCCCTGAATCTCTGTTGAGGGAACGACAAAGTGAGCGGAGTAGTTTGTCGTCTTGTGCAGGAGGTCGACACCTCCTGTGGTCAATATTCGCCGCTGTGTAAGTGATTCAATTATTTGTTTATCAATTATTTTAGTGTGAGGATAGGAGAGGGTACTGAGAAGCGAAGGACGGGAGAGGAATATGTGTGTGTGATATTCTTGGTGTTGAAGTGCTGATGAACACGAAGGATCAGTGACGTGTAGTGTAGATGAATCCTTCTTCACTAAACAATACAGTAATATACAACTCGATGGGTTATGACCGCCATTGTCACTCGAGTCATTGTTATCTGAGTCTTGGTAATATAAACAACATATATAAATTTATCGTGATTTCTATACAGTTTTTATTATATGTAAACAATTCTGGTATTTTAGCGGATGTAATAATAAAAATAGTTCCTGTTTGTGAGTGAAGTGTTAAGGGAGGGAATAACATACACAAACTAGATGATCTTTGATGCAACTCATGTGTGTCATTGAAGCTGGTACACAATTATATGGAATTAATTGGTAAACTGTCGTCTCTTATCAGTGTATCTAATTATATTTTTATAGTGTAGAGCGGGAGTGACCAGCCATTTTGTTATTCGGTGACACAAAAGTTTATTAAAGTTAAACAGATGTAGCGATTAAGGCGTTTGGGGATATTATGGGTTAAAAGTAAATTTACCTGTCATGAGCACTTCAGGTTGTCTTCCACATGATGAACCTTAGTGTAAATTAGAAGTACAAAAAAAAATTCGCACCATTAAATATTAAGTGAACTGATATAGAAATGAAGGTAATGTCAGGCTAATATGGCGGTTATTGGCAATTACCGGAAGACAGATTGCCTATCAGTCATGAGTATCAATCACTGACCGGTTTGGACACTCATCTCAGGTCATTGAGGGCGGGGTCATGTGAGGTCAATATAAGGGGTGAGTGTCTCTTCTTTAAACTCTACAATGTGATTTTTTGTTGCAGGTTTGAAGTTGACCTGGGCGGAGGCGTGTGATTGGCCAGGGCGTGAGCACGTGACCTGCGGTGGTGGTGGAGATGGGCGAGCCAGGTCAGGGGTCAGCAGTACACCTGGTGGCTTGTGAGGCTCAGGACGTTCACACCAGTGCGCCCCCGCACCACACCCCTACCATGCAGAAGACCCTCTACGAGACCTACCCGGCCCAGCCTCCCTCCTACACCTCCTACTACGAGAACCACTGCAACAACGGCTATGGCTACGAGGCTGGGTCCTGTGGCCAGTACTACGACGAGTATGTGGATTACCGAGCAGCATGTGGCCTCAGTTCCAACATGATGCCTCAACATATGATGATGACGCAGGGAACACAGCCGGACTATGGTTCCTATATGACTGCGCCTCAGATGGGGTATTGTGACCCAGGGTTAAGTAAAGACTACATGGCCTGGGCCAGGGAGCAGCCCCGTGGCCATGGTAAGAAGAGCCCCACTGTGCCCCTTAACCAGCCCCCTCCTTCCGGCCAGGGCCAGGTGCCACCGATGCCACAGCCCCAACAACAACAACAGCAGCCTCCGCAACAGCACGGACAGCCGACCAGCCTACAGCAGCCCACGCCCGCTCAGGGGCAGCCGCCACCTGTTGTCACTCCCCCGAACCAACTCACGCCGATCTCTCTACCGTCAGGCACGGGTAAGTCTCATAGCTATAATAGATGCATAAATACCACTAACACAAGCGACTCATTTATACACGCCTCAGGCATTTTATCACAATTCAGAAGATATTTTTGGGTATTTACCACCACGCACACACACCTTCAGCCACATCAGCATGTTTCTCACCTCTTGTGTATCATTAGATAAAATGGTATTTGAATGCGATTCATTTTCCCATACACAGGAGTCACATTAAAATACCCCGTCTCTCTCTCTCTCTCTCTCTCTCTCTCTCTCTCTCTCCACACAATCTGCAATATTTTTATACCAAATTGTTTTTATTTATTTTGACTTTCTAAGTTTTTTTTTATAAATAGTGTTTAGATGATGATGAATGGTGGTGTTCTCAGGTCGGATCATTCTTCTCTGGGTTCTATATCATTCATTTTAACACAACGTGTTCATCTTAAAAATATATTATTTATATTTCACTGTGAATAACTAAATGAAGGTCATCGATATAGTAAAGACGAGGCTGTGTAGGCCATTTGGCGGATTAATGCAGATATTTGCTTAAGTAGTGGAACAAGATTAACCTGTGGTGAAAGTGTATTAACCCCTTCACTGCGGGGGCGATAGTTTTAATGTTCTATTTGGTTAACGCCGGACGAGTTTATTCACCACAGAGAGGATCCCGTACACAAGTGGTTAAAAGTAAATAACGTAGTGGGAATGATCTAAAAAAGATATAGGTTAAAGTGGAAGGACACAGTGGGTGGAAATACGTGTAGGGGGGGGGGACAGGTAGCTATGTGGAGTGACAAATGAGGAAACATAAGTGTAAGAGAGTATATTAGTGTACAGTCCTCAAGGTGTAGTCTGCTGTACACTCCTTTGGGAACTGTTCTTATTTTTCTGGTTGTAGAGGAAAGCGTAGACAATGTGGTGAACCAGGATATTCTTTTCTTTTAAGTTTATAAGTGAAAATGGTATCCTGTTTATTTCTTGCATTCATTATCCATATTATTTCCTTAGCTATTCCTTTTAAGTCTAGATTTATTTTAATTTGAGTAGCCACACTAATCTAACATAACCCCCACAAGTAGTGTTAGGATGGTTAAACTTTAGGTAAAATAAGCTGGGGTGGAGATTCTTCAGGTGATCCATTTTGTTATTAGATAAGTTAACATTATTCAAGTGTAATATGCACCGTCTTATTGATTACTACCAACAAATGCTGCATAAACATCAAGCGCAAAATACAATGTAACTTTTTTTGTCTCTAATTTCCTAGTTTGATTTTTAAAACGTAGAAATTAAATTTTTTTCAATTACTACTACTACTACTACTAATAATAATAATAATGGATTACCTCGAATAATACTCGCAATATCAAAAGAAAATTAACATATAGATACAGTATGGCGCGATTTTATTTCCTAGAAGCGAAATTAATTGCAGTAAAAAAAATATCGTTCGTAATGATGAAACACCTTGACTACCGGAAGGCGTTAAATTAGGTTAAGTTTTTCGTAATCATAAGGTGAAATAAACAGGGGTGTCTAATCTTCATGTGATCCATAAACAAAAATTCACTCCACCGATAAAATCTATTTCAATGCAGTATACCTTGAGTAGTTATATAGAGTAAGATGATGTTACCACCACCACCTAGGTCAATGTACGACTCCCCTCTTATCACTTTTATATATTCAGATGCCGATAACTGCTGTGTGGGGGTGAAAATACTCAACTTTGTGGTACACCTGGGAACTCTAAACATCTCCCTTGACGGTGTTTCGTTTTGTATTTCGTTCTTGATCTTATACTTGAACATGTTTGAGTTAACATTGGTTTATTTTCTTTGGAAGAGTTCAGTGTTATGAATATTTTCCTTGCAAGTGTTCAATGCGATGATAATTTTCTTTGCAAGTGTTCAACGCATTTACAATTTTCTTTGGAATAGTTCAACGCAAATAATAATAATTCCATTTTCAAGATTTCAACGCAATGATCATTTTCTTAACAAAAGTCCCGATTTAGGATAATAATTATCAGTCCCCAGTTGGTTAAGGAGTATACACACTACTCTGGTGGTCATTAAAGCAACGTTTGTCCTTTTACATTAAAGCTTACGAATCGTGTCAACATAGGAATCCTTATATTAAAATCTGGAGGGCCCGAGTCTCAATGGACATACACCCGAAAATATCAAACAAATCGGGAAATAGTGATCGATTAGTTTAGCTACATGGAGGACGAGTTAAGTCAGGTGTCGACAGTCATCCTCCAGTATCGAGTTTTAGTTCGTTCCACACACACACACACGAGAGATATCATTACGAGTAAATTCAATACATGACTTCCATTTATGATCATGGAGTAGGTGTTATGGGTCTCCAGCCGAGCTCTTCCACCATCCTGAGAGAGGGGGTTTGGTGTCAGGGAAGATAGACGGTGTGAGGTGCAGCGACAACAACAACACACTCGTCCGCGGAACAGTACACAAGAGATGTGTTTCTGCCATACTGTCACCCACCACCACGTCTATACTTCACTTTATATACCAGTTTGTTTTCTATTTTGAGAGTTCACGTCCAGTAGATAAGAGGGTGTATTTCTCTCACTCACCTGCCTCCCTTACCTGTATGCCAGATTGTCTTGTTTAGAGAGTTAACTTGTTCATGTTTACTAGACACAGACACGCATCCCTGTTAAATTTATCCCCACCATTACGTTGTTTTGAACATAAATGGGCATCAACTTATTCCTGTTTCTGAAGATTTTGATTGTCTCTGTTTGGAACTTCTAAATCATTGTTAATATTATTTTTTTCTCTTTCATTCACTTTTCTTTATCATATCTCTCTACGTTCTCTTCTTTTTATTTATTATTTTAACTTCTTCAGTCTTTTAAAACTATTGTGTCCTCTTCCTCTTGAGACATCCCCCCCCCCCCTCACACACACTCCTCAGCGAAGCTCTTACCACCAGCGCTGTTTATCGTCCGTGACCTTCCCAGTTACTCTACCTTCTCCAGTCCCCTCAACCACGCTCTCTCCCTCCCTCCTCTTACTCCCATCTTTATTTTTTTCTTCTCCTTGGCTCACTAAGTCCTTCCTACCCCCCTCAGTCCTCTCTAACACTCTTACCTTTACCAGTGACTCCCATCCCGTGACCTTATGAAATTATCCGAACCTTTCTTTACGCTTTTAACTTCAATATCTTTATTCTCCTCCTCCCCTTACGTAACCCTCCAATACCATCTTACTCTCCACAGTTCACCTAAACATCCTTCACCTCAAACGCCCTCTTACTCCTTGTGGCTCTCACTGGATCACTCTCACTCTCTCTGACGCTCTCCTCCTTCTCCTCCTCCTCTCGTTATCCGCCTCCACGGCCCTCGGAGGCACCCCATCTGACACCTGTTCAACTGAGTTCTGGTTGATCCAGTGGGCCGCGGCGGGTCATCACTCAGCGGCGCCACGGTGCCATTCTTCGGGACAGCGGACCCGACTCACTGGCACTCCATCACCCACACAGTCATCACCTGACACGCCTGCTACCAGTGCCATATTTTACGCTGGGGGAGTGAGAGGGAGGGAGGGGACGGGAGGGGGACGAGAAGAAGGAGGGGCGACACCCATGCGGATTCCCTACATCGATTTTTCTTCTTTTGGGAACTGTGACACGTCGAGGAAAACAATTTGATTATGTGGGAGGGTTTATCGGGACGCTTTATGGGGCTGAGTGAGGACCTTCGGGGAGCATCATGGCTTGGGGGTTTATTATTTATGGTAGTGTGTCTTGTAAACTGTCGGGGAGACCACAATACTCTTGTTGGTGTTGGTCGACCCCTACTTCCTCTTCCTTCTCTCCCTTCTTCCTCTCCTTCCTCTTCCCCTTCCTCCTCGACCTCTTTAAGAAAAAAAAATCTATTGTGTGCATTCTCTGTGGGTATGTGATTGAATGTTGGTGTGTTTGTGAAAGTGTATCCGGTACGTTAGTTTGTTTGTTTGTTTGTCCATGTTCGGTACAGGGATATGTGTGTGGGGGGGGGGGGGGGTGTGTCTGTCTGTCATTGTGTCTTGTTTGTCTGTACTGTAAAAATGTTTTCTGTTCTAAAACTCTCTATCTCATTTTTCTTTTTAGATAACCTTAGAAGTACACCTGTCACATGGCACGGTTCATTTGTCAAGTTGCCATTTGTTGTATCAGGCGTCATATGGCACGTGTTAGCTCTCACTCCTCAAGTCTAATGTGTCACTGTCATGTGTCATAAGGAACATAAGTGAGGTGGATGTTTTATACGGTAATTTTGTCGTTGTTGTTTTTGCTGTGTTTGTTTTTGTAGATGTTCCTGATATTGTTACTTATACAATCCAGTGTCATTTATTTTCTACTGTAATGGTGCTCTCTCTCTCTCTCTCTCTCTCTCTCTCTCTCTCTCTCTCTCTCTCTCTCTCTCTCTCTCTCTCTCTCTCTCTCTCTCTCTCTCTCTCTCTCTCGCCAAGCACACACCAGAGAACCTTGGCTGCTGGGGACCGTGCTGCATTGACGACTATCTGTCATTGCCTCCGTGTGCTGAGAGAGAGAGAGAGAGAGAGTGAGAGAGAGAGAGAGAGTTAGATAATAATCGAGGGAAACAGAGGGAAAAAAGAGAAGTGGTGAGAAAACTAAGGGGAGATACAGAGAAGAGAAAAACGTTTGATGGGGAAATGAGACAGGGGTGGAGATTGTCACTTGTCTTTGTGTATATAAACCATTCCATCTCATTCATTACTACTACTACTGTGATCACCAGTACTATCACCACCATCACAACAACCACCTTACTCACTACCACAACACTCACTCACCACCACCAGAACTATCACCACCATCACAACAACCACCTTACTCACTACCACAACACACACTCACCACCACCATACTATCACACCATCACAACAACCACCTTACTAACTACCACAACACTCACTCATCACCACCAGTACTATCACCACCATCACAACAACCACCTTACTCACTACC